ACATTTCACACCTGAGCCTCAACTCTCGCGGCCCGGTACCAAACGACTCACGGACCGGTACCGGTCCGAGGCCCGGGGGTTGGGGACCGCTGCTGTAGACAATCAGAATACTGCATTAAGAGGAAATGTCTCTGTGACCTCATGAAGCAAAACTTCTTACCCTCATTATGCAGAGTATCTATAAATATGTGAACTGACCAACCTTTGGTCCCAGGCTCAGTTGGAGCAGCAGCAGTTGTTTGGACTTCAAGTTTGGGTTCACAGGCTGCCGCTTGGTTACTTGTCACCACAAAAGCCCCAGTGCAGAACAATGAACTGAATTAGGCATCCTTCTTAAATGTAAGTATGTTTAGTCGTCCTACAGTGGGATCACAATGTGAACAAATTCATTTTACAATTATATGTTAATGATTTTGCGATACAGTGCAAAACATAGCATTTTAATGCTAAGAGGCTAACATGTAAATATTCCTTTTATTGTGTTTTTTAATTAACAAATTCTCTCCATTCTTTACCCAACTGAAAGCTAACAGTTAACAAAATCAACTCTGCTTAGCTGTGTACAGAAATGAGTGGGAAGATGGAGCCTAATAGGGCAGTTTTATCAGATCCAGGTAGACGGACTTAGCATGATGCAGCTTATCCTTGCTAACTGTTCTAGACGAAATTCAGTGAGCATTCTCATACAGGAATAATCAGTGAAACAATGAATGCAAGTACTGGGACACAATATGGTAATTATTTTTTCACACAACATCTCCGTCAGCGTTTGTACAAGGTGTTTGTTTTCATCGGGAACGGCTCCCAGAGATTCCCAATTCCACGTGTGGTTAGGATTGATAAGGCATGTTATCACTTGTAGACTGGAAGGCTTTACAATTTAGGAAGCCAATTTCCCAACAAGTCTGTTGTTTAAGATTTTTAATTTTTCACTTGTCAGAATAAACTTGGCAAGATTCATATGACTGCTGCGAGTGGGGATAGAGTACAGTTAAACTGATTTTTTAAACCCCAGCAATAAAATTCTGACCAGTGCCTTCACCATGATGAACGGTTTTTAAAACATCCAAATTCATTTTTGCAGAAAAATTAGTGTCCAATATCCATTAATATGTGTATATGCTATAAATAGATATGAAAGTGGTTTGTCCTCATTTCCCTGAAAATGAAAAACATTATTTGTAGAAATAATGGGATTTTCATCAGGAAACTCTTTCTCAGATTAGAACATTTAAATGCAGCTATTTTGCATTCATTGGTTTCCACTGAGTAATATGACATAAACATTAACATAATGTTAATAAGTTTATATTGCGCATAGTTATTAACTGTTCACTCATCTGAATTTGTTTCTTTGTTTGGTTCCTGTTCAAAGTGTAATTATTGTTGAATATGTATAATCAGAAATGTCAGTTTATTTCCTGTTTTCACCGTCGTATTTATGCGAATGCACAAATGTGTGTTAACAAGCGTGTGTTTCTCTTCAGCAGTCAGTGCTGTCAAAAAGATGCTAAAACTTTCCTGTCATTGTGTTGCTATACACAATGTGCTTTGAGGTAGCAGCCAAGAAGGGTGTAGTTTGTGTCTGTGAACACCTGTGTGAACACCTGTGTGAACACCTGTGTGTACACCTGTGTGGACACCTGTGTGGACACCTGTGTGAACACCTGTGTGGACACCTGTGTG